CACACAGTAACACACACACACAGTAACACACACACACAGTAACACACACAGCTGTTAAACTATTAACTCACGCTGAGGTTCATCAGCTGACTGCTGACCTGTGTTTGTGTCTCTGTGATTGGCTATTCCCCACCTCCAGGCTCTGGACCTGCTATTGGACAAGATGAAGAGGGCGGGGCTTGACTTCTCCCGTGTCAGAGCGCTGTCAGGCAGTGGTCAGGTGATGGTTAAAGTTAGACTTTGGCATAAATGTCCAATAATTTGTGAAGCATGAACAGGACGGGTGCTGCAGTATGAGCAGAAATATGTGGACACCTGGACAGGTGTGACTCTGTGCTTATTAACGTGCTGCCTCCACTCGTGCTGAGGGAAACAGGAAGTTCAGACAGTTTGTGCTGTCAGCTGATCCACAGTACAAAGTTCTTCTGGTGCAGTATGAAGTTACTCAAATGTCCTAAAAAGTCCAAAAATTCATATTTCTAAACCGTTTGATGTTCTCAGGTGCAAATTTAAAGTGAACAGCTTGTTTAACACGAGGAGAACCAGGAGTGTCCGCATACTTTTGATCACAGCGCAGATGTCATATTAAACCTTCTTCTGTTTTTATGAACTCAGTCTTGTTTCTGTTTTTAGCAGCAAACACTAAAAACAAATTTCCACTAAAATCTGGAGAAGAATGAGTGGAGTGTGGTGGGAAGTTTCCTGAGACAGAGTCAGTTTTCTCATGAAGTGCTTCAGTGTACATGACAGCATCGTGTCACACTAACTGCACGACTTCCCGTCAGCACGTGTGACTCGGAGTAAATCCTGAAGCACTTTTGTGCTCGCTAAACATTTACCTGCTGAAATCAAAGCTGCTGAGTGATGTGCAGCTCAGAGGGAGCTGCTCACTGGGTGTCCACATACTTCTGATCATATAGCACACTGCCATCACCTGGCAGGAGGCGGGAACCAGTCTGTAAAATTTGAAGAAAAGTGAATGGAGTCTGGTTGACTTGTGTTGTCTCTCAGCAACATGGCAGCGTGTTCTGGAGGAGAGGAGCGTCTGAGACTCTGAAACATCTGGACCCGGACCAGGACCTGCACCAGCTGCTGCAGGTGTGTGTGTGTGTGTGTGTGTGTGGTTAAATGCTGACTCGGTGTGCTGCTGCGTCCTCAGGACAGCTTCTCGGTGTCGGACAGTCCGGTGTGGATGGACTCGAGCAGCACTCAGCAGTGTGAGGACCTGCAGGCGGCAGCAGGAGGCGCTCTGAGGCTGGCGGAGTTCACCGGATCCAGAGCCTACGAGGTCCAGCTGTGCCACATCTGTGTGTGTGTGTGTGTGTGTGTGTTAAAGAGCTTTAAAGGACGCGTCCGTGTGTTTGCAGCGTTTCACAGGAAATCAGATCGCCAAGCTGCGTCAGACCCGAGCGGAGGAGTTCCAGGACACCGAGGTGAGAGCGTCACTGCACCTGCACAGTCCCACCTCCAGCTGTTTCCTCACACCTGATGAAGGTGTGTGTTTTTGGTTTCAGAGGATCTCATTGGTCAGCAGCTTTGCCGCCTCTCTCTTCCTCGGTGGTTACGCTGCCATCGACTACAGCGACGGTACGGTTTGTGTGGCTCGTCGCTCTCTGAGGGTCTCGCACCCATCAGCTAATCAATGAACCCACTGATCGATTGTTCAGGCTCAGGGATGAATCTGCTGGACATCAGGACCAGAAACTGGTCTGAGATCTGCCTGCAGGCCACCGCTCCTCACCTGGACCAGCTGCTGGGAGCTCCACTGCCCTCCACATCTGTGCTGGTAAGCAGGGGAGCCTCCAGAATGTTTTCATGGGGTGGCCACACGGGGGCCACTAAAAGTATTCAGGTGTCACAGCAAAAACTGAATTTCCAGTTTTATTATAAATATGATAAAATAGGTTATTTGAGAAATATGTCAAAAAAGAGAAACAGAGAAGAATTATATGTGTAGTTAATTTCCAGCTATATCACTGAATATGGACACACATGAAAACCACAGAGCCATATTTTACATGCTGTAGTGGCGCTTTGGGAGCATTTCAAGTTGCTATACATCAATACAACCATTACAGCCCCAATTTTAATAATATTTGTGCATTAAGTTCATAGTAATTACATAAATTGCAAAAAAGTGCAATAAACTACAAACAAATTGAAAATCATTTTTGTTTTTTTTAACATATATTTCCAGTTGCAGAAATTTCTGAGGCTTATCCCTCAAAACTGTAAATACAAAAAAGTTGCACAAAATAGTTTCCAGCCACAGGAAATTTATTTTGAGTGTCTTCAAAGTTTTATCTTTGAAATACACCAACTTTTATAAACTGCAGGAAAAATGAAAATAAATATTATAATGCAAATTTCTGAAGAAACCAGCAGTGCATTCTGAGTTCTGCATCCCAGAAACTATTCAGAAAGGCAGGAACTCAAACATTAATTTAAAAACACCAGCATGTCTTTGTAAACGCCCTAAAGGAAAAAAATTAATTTTACGCAAAAACGACATCAGTTCCGGTTTTGGGCAGGAAGTGTTACGAACAGCTGATC